AAATTTGGGACGATTACACCACAGATGACTGTCTAACATTAGTTGACACTATGTTAAGACGTATCAAAGCAGGCAGTAAAAAAGGCGATGTAAAACAGTGTTATTTTGTTACTATTTGGTTTCGTTGATTTTTATCAATTGATTTTGTTTTTTTCTTAAAGACATTTTTCTCTGTTACAAAAAATTGTAGTATTTTAGGCAGATATTAAATAATAATATCGTAAATTATCAGAAATACATTTTACTGCAAATTTTATTTAAAAAAAGTAGTTTTGATAGTTGGGCCAAAGACAGGGCTCGTAGGTGTGGAGTTGACAGTTTACCAACCCAAAAGAATAAATTCATTTGCCCGATATACAGGGCGCATCACAGCAGGTTAGACGATTATGGAGAGCGAAAGGTAAGGCCGTTCTAAAAATTTGATGGTTTAAATATATTTATAGAACAACTTGCATATTATAGGATTTACTAGTTCGCCGTCAGTTTCTGATTATTTTTTTTATCTTTAAATCTTTGCTACAGCCAAATTTGAATTCGTAGAGAACTCAAATTGTGGCCATGGCTTAGGAAGGTCTCTATAAATCATAAGCTACTCTACTATCAACAATTCTATACTTAAATATTAAGGATTCCGAAAGTTTCCGTACAAATTGGAATATTCGCCTAGTAACCATCAAGTTTCCAATCCATTCGATGGAAATTTTAGAAACTTTAGCAGTTAATAAGTTATTAATACCTATATAAGTGAAAAGTTCCAAAAAGTGCACAACGAGGGGAAATGTTTACTTGAATGAAGTCTGATGACAATATATTCAAATTGAGTCAAATTATTAAAACATTGATTAGAACCAACTAACGAAAAGAGGTTTGGACAAAACTAAGTTATACTGAAACCTGTAGCGTTTAATGAAGACAACGTAATAAATTTAGCATATTTTAAGGTTTATCCCCGGACTTTCACCAGAAGTGCAAGAGAAGATTTAGAGTTATGCGTCCATTCAAACAATACTTCGTAAGCGTAACATGCATCTCTACAAATTTACCAAAATTTAAGCAGTGAAACCAGAGGTTTATCACAATAGAATTTCATTTCGGAAATTGCTATAAATATTCTAGCAGTTTGTGGTTTTGTGCTAATAAGTTAGTACTCTATGAACTAAAAATCCAAAATTTTGCATTTACTTGCAGCAAAGTGAACTTTCTACATCGACATAAAATTTTGATTTGTCATCGTTAGAACCCTGCATCAGGCAGATTGATAAAGGCGACGTATTGGCTTTATCTACTACGGTACGAGAACCCTAGAAAAATATTTGCCGAATCATAGGAGGCAATGTAGGAAGATTTCGGCTCTACTTTCTTTTATGTGTTAGGATAACATGCGTAAAATATTGAAGCGTCCAGATGCAGTAACTTATATTTTAAGTTCGAAGTAGGATGGATAATTTTTCAAAGAAACTTAAACAGGCTACTGTAATTTTATTTACAAATCTTCTGGATTCCTCCTGTGTCGGTTTATAAATAAAACTGGCTGACGTTTCGCCAATCATCCTGTAGGCTTCTCCTGAGCTTAACTGATACTAGCTTGCATTCTACTCTCTACCTGCTTATATAGTGTTTGAAGGGGACGGTGCTAAATTAGGGACATAAACATTGTCTCAGGTGACTGATTCCCATATTGGCGAAGGGTAAAGAGCCGAGTCGCTGTTAAAATTCTTTGGTCGCTTATAGAATTCTATAGGTTCTTGCATTTTTCTTTGATCTTGAATCACATGGAAAAAGTTTAGTTCTATCGAATGAGGTTTGATGTGCGGTTTCATGATTGTGTTCGACAACTGCGGATGAGTTTATTTGTCATGGCTCGTTTGTTTAGAACTATAAAACTTTCTCTACCCGACTCACTGAACCCAGAATTAAAACACCTTAGATCTGCTCATCTGTCTAATAATTTCCACATTAGAGATATTAAGAGTTCCATCACAAAATACACTTCTTTATACAAAGACACACCTTTCAAAGACAATAAGTCCGAAAGCAACCCCACACTTGCCATCAAATCATCATCAAAAGTTCTTAAGCAATGTAACATCAAAATCAGATTTGCCACTTGTTCAAAAATCTTCGATCCGTCAAAGACAAAATTCCGTTTGCCAGGAGTTTACAGCATTGCATGAATAGGTGGCAAAGAATACACTGGAAAGACAGGACAGGAAGAATATCAACTAGGCTCAAAGAACATGAAGGAGCCTTAAGACTTCTACAAATAAACTTATCCGCAATTAGAGAACCGAACATTAGTCAATAAGATTTTATTCGATATAACTTAAATTCTTGGATGTAAGAAATTCTCCTAGCAAATAATAATTCGAGAATCTATCTAACAATCGAGATAATGTTCATGCCTCTACTTTAGCTCCAAGTTTGATTTATAAAGAATCGGCGCAAGAGGAATCCAGGAAATTTGTAACTATTGGGATCGATAATAAAAAAAGGAGACACTTATCGGTCAACATAAATAAAAACGCAATGATCGCAAAATCTAATTAATTAGGAATCATGTTTTGTTTTTTGTATATATCACTTTAAAATAATAAATATGTGGAGCCAAATGGTTGAATATTATTTTTATATAGTAGTAAATAGAGAAATACTGTTGTCTTAACGTAGCAGAGAATGTTCAGCCATTGATGATGCGTTGATGATTGTGATTCAGCAAACATTTTTCTAGCGTTGCGTCTTACCATAGGATGCCAACAGGCAACCCGGCGGGTATCAATTACTAAGGATGCAGCTGTACTAACTTCCGCGGAAACAGTACTTTATTACCGTTAAACGCATAATTCCTGTAATTTTTTTTATATTATCAATATTAACGGAATATCACAGATAATGTGCATAACTCCGAAAATTGTCAGTTACACATACTAACATTTACGGATATTTAGGCAGCATGCAAATCTGGAATGGCATCTTGCCTTTGGTGTTCTCACATAATAGTTCTGTAATTACTTGTGAATATTGTTTTCTCAATGTTTCCTTATATTGTTTGTTGTAACTGGTAATAAAATTGGTTGGAGTTCATTTTGGGTAATCCTAGCGCTTCCCTAACCTAAACTTAATCCTCTCTTTTTCCGCTAGGGATATCGTCGCGAAAAAATGTTGGATATAAATTTTAAATTTGGTGTGAAATAAAAGTCTCGGTTTTATCCTCCGACAATTGGATAGTAATGGAATGGGAGGTAGTTGACGTAAACTAAATTGATAAAGCTTCCAACGATAATGCGAAATCGTTTCATCTCGTCGCATTATCGTAATTCACCCCAGCCGTCAACGCCATCACTCCCCACCGACGCAACTGTTTTTACGTCATCGTCGTCGTCTTCATAATTACTCCCACACCAAGCTCGACGTGTAAAACCCATGGCTTTGCCAGACTGATAAAAAAACCAAACCCCCTCACCCCTTCTTCACCCGCCTGAGCCAATTAACGTGTTTATCTGAGCGATGTGGATTGCTGGGGGGTGGCGCGAGCGGCGGGGGAGCACCACCGCCACGTCTACCGCAATACAGCCCACGGATCGGGTCCGGGGTGTAATTAGGCTAGTAGCCACCACCCCCCCGCACCCGCGAACGGTCTCTGGCATCAACACTAGATAATGTTAATTTTACCCCGGAGTTACCCCGTGTGGCTTTATTTATCTCCCTAAAAAGGTACCAATTTATCTTATCGCGGTGACAGTTGGGACAGGCGCGACTGTGAACCTCCTTGGCGTTTCGAGGTTGTTTTTTTTTCTCTTTTCGTTATTACTATGGTAGGCCATTTCGATGGGATTTGATGACTTGGTGTATTTGTAACATGTATAGCAAGGTGATAAAAGTGATAAAACCTCAGTAGATATGTAAATGAACTACAGAATGGTGACTCAAAGCATACTTAAGCCACTTTCACTGTTTGGCATTAATTTAATTTCAAAATCATTTCTTCTTTTAACCTAACGTAGACAGTACCACCCGGGTGGGTTTGTTATCCATTCACCAACCCTGAAGATGGTGTGCCAAAGGCCAAAGAGGCAAGATGCGCTGACAGTTTTTGTCCACACTGTCAAGGAATTTTTACACGATTAATTTTCCTGAAACCGATCCAGTTTCTAAATGAAATACCAATAATGAAAAAAAATTAAGTTCTATATACCCAGAAATACCCACTACCAAAAAATGTAAAACAAAAAATAAGAAATTGATAAATAAATAGAGTCGTTTATGTCTTTAGTAAAATGGTCGTTGCTTTTCATGTAATTCGGCAGCTGACATTCATTTATTATTATCTTTTGGGATTTGGTTAGTTTGGGACTTACTAAAAAACATTTTTAGGTCTTTTTTTATAGCCTCTCCGATAAATCAAGTTATTATTTTGTAAGACTTGCTAAATTACGTAATGTAACTTACTATGGTATTTTTTTAACGTAAAATATCTCAAAAATTAAAAATCGGAACATTGCTTCCGGTACAACATTCTAAAGAAAAATTTGTAAAGAATAACAATAAAACAAATTTAATACCAAGTTTATGATATATTTTGAAAACTGATTGCTTGACTACTTGACACTTGCACTTGAACTAGCGGATTCATTCTAAAAAATACTAAACAAGTATCCTTAATAAGTACTAAATAATAAGTCCCCTTAGAAGTTTTGAGGAATAAAAAACTTTTTCAAATGCATGCTTTTGAGAATCAACAGACAAATCATGATTAGGTTTTCATATTTCTTCTCTCAAAAATAGAGCTCGCAACATCATTACCCATTTTCCGATATCTATGCTAGAAATAGCGGGTAGCTACAGTGTAGCTCAAATTGGAATAAAGCATCTTCTGCTGTCAAGAATAAAGAAAAATGTCAACATAACTATGGCTTTTAAGGGCACCGAGGGCAAAAAAATTACGCTTTCTTATCCGAGCAGTGTTTTGTAATTTTAAAACGAAATTTTCTTCGAATTTTTAGTTCCGCCGGACATAATCAATGACGACACAAGTGGGGACCTCTCCGTGGCCGAAGGTGAAAACGCAACCCTTTGGTGCAAAGCTACCGGTCACCCGCTGCCGCGTATCACCTGGAGGAGGGAGGACGGTCAGCCGATCACACTAAGAAAAGGTCTAAGGGAATATACTAGAGGTAAGCAGTTTTCAGATTCTTTGATTCTTGATATTGGATTCTTGACGTACAAAAAATGTTAAAAATTGTCTTCTTAAAGCTGTTAAAGCGCTACTACAAAAAAAACTGACCCACGCCACTGTACAGGGTACACTTTTTGAAGAAGATAGAGAAAAACTAACATCCGGAGCTTGAATTTAAAAAAAAATATATTTCAAAATATCCCTGCAACTTTTTCGTTTTGTAAAATGTTTACAAAGCAACGTTTTACGGAGAATTAAACGGCTTAAAAATAACATTTTTTAAACTAATGTTTTTTATTAGCTATCAACGGAAAATTGGATTTTTTTATATGGAACACACAAAATATTTTACCCCTACTAAAAATACAGCACGGATGAAATTTTGGTCGAGATTTCTCGGAAAAAATAGAAATTTTAATCTTGTTGGTTAGTTAAGATTCTGGTTTATGTGAGATATTGGTCGTGGTACAAAATATCGACAAAAGTCGACGTACTTGTCTAAGGTCGTATTTTCATAGTTTGAATAAAACCCGAGCAAAATATTAAGTAATAAAATTTTATAAAGTAAGCTTTTAATGTACCTTTACATCTACAATCTTAACTCTCGTTTGATTTGAATAAAGCACCAACTGAAAACTATTTGGGCTAATAAGCGGGAAAATCGCTTGCTTCGCGGTATCGAAAACTTTCTAATTCTCAAATTAAAACATTTGCATATAAATTTGATAGATTTAATTAATTCGCTGCCGTCCTACAAGTCGATAATAAAAAAGACTATTAAAAGAGCCTTATAAAACGGGGGCCCCGAATTCATTAAAAAGTTTAGAAGGTAATTAAAAATAATAGAATATCTTATTGCGACGCGACCGCGACAACGGGCAACTTTTTAACTGCATTTTTCCGTTGCGCCTTTTTTTTGAGTAGCCTCGCAAACGCTAATTTTCTGCTACCGACCATTTAGCACTGCACCCCCGATGATTATGTACCGAGGAGGCTCAACCTTTTGCACATCACTTTAAAAAAAAACGAACTTTTACAGTATCAAAAAATTTGAAGTATTAATGCCCTTCTCTTCGAAACTTTGGATTTTTTCGATATATCATTACGTTTAGGTATTTTTTTAAACAATATTCTTTATGAATGACATTCACGAATATTTTACCAACTACCTTTTTGTTTGCTTCTTCTTCTTCCAGCCCGTCCCCTTTTCTAAATGCGTCTTTGTCTCTTACAACGTGAAACAGCTCTCCTACATTCATCTGACTCCAGTCTCTGATGTTTCTTAGCCAGGATTTCTTCCATCTTCCTATGCCTTTTCTTCCATTTTTAGAATATGGCCTATTTTTCGTCGTATGATTGTAATTATTAATTTCCTTTCTTGTCCTATTCTTCTTAACACTTCCTGAATCTAGCTGTCCAAGGTATTTTTAAGGTTCTGCGATACAGCCACATTTCAAAAGACGCGTTTCTTGATGACGTGAGCCTTGAGAGTCCAAGTTTCTACTCCGTACAGTAGTTGTGAGCACACGTAGCACTCCATAAACTTTAATCTTAGTTTAAGGCATAGATTTTTGGCGCTAAATAGTACTTAAATCTTAAGAAAGACTGCCTCACAATTTCAATTCTGATTCATGATCTTGGTCTAGGTTAGGTTTTCGTTTTATCATCAGCTGAACTTTTCGAGACAATCATGAATTTAGTTTTTACGGTATTTATTGTTAGTCCCATTTTATTGCTTTCGTTATTGACCAGTAACCAACCAGTAATTGTAGATCTTCCACGGATTCAGCCATTATTGCTGTATCGTCCGCAACTATTAACAATCTCACTTACTATTTTAATACCTTCTTCTCTTTCCCAAAGAGCCCGATGAAATACTATAGATATAATATAGATAGATACATATTGAAGAGTGCCGGTGAAACAGGTGAAAGTACACACACCTGCCTAATACCGCGCTGGATAGGCATTATTTTTGTTTCCGTTTCGTTTATTTTCAGAGTGGCTGTTTAGTTCCAGTATATCTTTTTGATGAGCGCTATATCATTGTAATCGAGCTGAATGTTCTTCAGTACATCTATGAGTTTCGTATGTTGGACTCTATCAAAAACTTTTTGATAGTCTATTAAGCATATGTAAACAGTTTTATTGTATTCGCGAGTTTTTTGGAGGAGAACTCTCATTGCGAATAAGGCTTCTCTGATTCCCATGCCTTCTCTGAAGCCAAACTGTGAATTATCTAATTGTTCTTGGCATTTTGTGGATATTCTATTTTGGATTATTTTCAATAAGACTTTTAAGGGGTGGCACATGAGACTTATGAGTCTATAGTCGTTTCCTGATTTCGGGTTGTTCATTTTAGGTAAAGGTGTAAATGGTGATGTTAACCATTCTGGCGGGATGTTTTTTGAGGTATTGTTTTGTTAAGTATGTTGGTGAGTGTGATTATATTTTCATCGTTCAGTGATTTCAGAAGTTCAGTTTGTATGTCATCTCGACCTGAATTTTTTTTGGTTTTATATTTTTTGACTTATAGTGTTTGACTTCAGAGGTTGGTATCTTTAAGACTTCGCGTTGTTCATCTTCCTTTGTTCTGTCTGTACAATTGATTCTATTGTCCTGATATACCTCTTCTACTACTTTTCCTTTTCCCAATATTTTTTTATATCATTTTCTTCCAAAACTATATTTTTTTGATTGTCTCTCGTTCCACAGGGATTTTTTTTCTTGTCGTTTCTTTTATTTTCTTGTGCAAACCGAATGTATCATTCTTCTGAAATTCTTCAATTTCTGTGCGTTGTTTCTTCTTCTAGCCGACTTTGGCCTTTTTTGTTTGCTGATAACCTCAAAATGAACTGTATAATTAAGTCTTCTATAACAAAACTGCAGTAATCTTCTTTACTGATGTAATAGAAATATCATGGCTCTCCACTCTTTTTATCAATTTTTTATCAAGCCTTTCAGATGCTTGGGTTCATTAGAAGAAGTACGCAAGACCCTTTATGATGCACATTATGGTCCTCTTCTGGTTTTATAATTATAATGACGCTAGGCTAAATGTAAGGCCTATTTCAGTGCTCCATAAGTGGAGACCTTATAACCTCCTACACAGGCTTCTTGTTTTCATTTTCTTGCAAAAACGTAAAAAGCATTATTGAAAATTAAAAAATATTCAAATAATTTTTGCTTTTCCGTTCCAGTCGAAGCCTACAACGGGACGAATCTCCATTTTTGGAAACTAGAGAGGAGACAGATGGGAGCTTACCTCTGTATCGCTAGCAATGACGTCCCTCCAGCTGTCAGCAAAAGGATTGCACTCAACGTTAACTGTAAGTGAACTATACTCGTTTCGATTGAACTGACCAGACTGATTCGGGAAGAAAGAATTTTCAGGTATCAGTCAGTAACCACCGAATTTCAAAAATACGGCAAGGCAAGGATGTACGGTATTAGGGAAACGGATGGTCTTTGAAATTTGAACATTTTTTTTTTAATATTTCAGCAATCGGAGGGCACGTATCAATTATACAGTACCACTTAAAAACTGTACACCATTGTGAATTGCTTGTTTAAGGATCGATTTTGATTTTTTTTTTATTGGAAAGATGCACTTTAAACCTTATTTTGCTTGTTGCTTCAACATAAAGTTATGACCAACTGGGACTATTTATCGAAAAATGAGCAAAACAAGATTTAATATGACGACAAACGACCATAATAAGTTTTGTCTAAGTCAGTTGAAATATTTTTGTACAATTAATAAAAAACCGATTGTTTCTATACACCTTGACATCCCCTATCTCCAAAACGAATTAAGTTGGGACACGTGCTTACACGAGAATGCAGTCATATTCTTGGCTGATAAAGATGCGCTTAAAATCTTTGTACTAAAATCTGTACGCGGTACATAAAATAAACCCCACCCCATAAGCGGATAGTTAAATTAACGCATTTATTTAGGTAAAAAAGTAAGGATCCCTGTTGTCGGGTCCCATGTGGTAAAATTCGCTCCAAAATTTAGGTCTTTAGATATTATAATTGTGACTACTATGACTCTATCCATTCAATTGTTTTCTTCCACACCATTCCATTCCGCCATTAGACTTATATGCCTCTTAAGTAGGCAGTGGCCCATCATTACACCTGCACCTGCACACCTGCCGTTATTCTTACGTCCTTTCTGTTGTAGCAGGTTTGCTGTGCATTTGACCGATGAACTGCTGAGAAATTCCTTGGATTGTCTTTGCTCTGGCATGTCTCTCCACCATTTCCAGGATTCTCTTTTCATCCATTTTTTTGATGGCTGATTTTGCAAAAGATTTAGCCAACCCACAAAATATTTCTGCTCCAATAATGCGCCTTTACCATGACAGCATCACTTTATTCTGATTTGCTAGCTCGTTTAATGCGTTATAACAATCCAAAACTAACTTCGATATTTGCTGGATTGCATAGCTCCATTAGCTAACATCTTAAACGAGAGACAATGCGCACAACTGTTCGAATGGAATTTGCCATGAAAGTTCTCCTTACAAGCACTCGGTCCTCGGCGAGACGATTGTCGGATTGCCGAGCTATAAATTAGCGCGACAATGTGAAGGGGTGTAAAAATTTCTCGCCATACGCGGCACTAATAAGAGCGTAAAACCGACGGGATATCGGGAGTCAATAAAATTTTTACCGTCTAGGGTCGTAAAACCCCCTTCGAGTGCCTCGTTAAGTCCGGGCGTCGAGAGGATCGTCCGCCAGCAGGGACCTTTGCTTGTCTGGAGAAGAATATTGAATAAAATTTCTTCCAATCGGTTTACGGTTAATGTTCGGATACACTTGACGCGAGTTTTTTTTTTTCGTTTATACAGGATAGCGCAAGTTATCTCCATATGGAAAACTTTTTTAATATTAATTTTAGAAGAGAAAAGAAGTATTCTTCATAAATACTTCTCAATGTTTTAAAATACAAAGACACAGTAGTATTCAAAGTTTATCAAAAATATTTTACTCAAACCTTCAAATTCGAAAATTCATCTCCGTGTAATGACGTCACTCGTTGAGCTTTGATGGGGAACGATATCATTATACATTATGTCATTAAATATAACTATTATAAAAAACAAAGGAATTGTATCATGCGTTCAATTTATCTTGATAACATTTGAATTAGCTGTAACTTTTTTGTTTTTAGAAATATCATGGTCAAAAAAAGCAAAATGTAGGGTTAGTAGTCAGTCTTTTTCCAAGTGACGTATAAAACCAAACACTATCAATTTTCTGACATAAAAGCCTACGTCATATTTTTTTAAATGGAACACCTTGTATATTATATGTGTTTAATAGAATATCTTATTTCGATTACAGTGATGTAACGTACTTTATATCTTAAATAAAAATATGTCTATGTTTGACATGTCAGTAAACAACGTTGATGATCATTGTCCAAGTCATTATTGTTAAAACGGTTTTTGGCATCCGTGAAAGGAGTGATATGCTTCAAGTATACTTTCTGAATAATAAAACTCCAACCGCTGCTCGTCGTCAGTATATTCGACTTTATTCAGAGCACCGAGCTCCTTCAAAACAGATATTTCCAAGGCTGGCAAAGAAATTTGCAGAAATTGGTAACGTATTATATGCTAAAAAGGTATGCACGAATCATAATGTTTTAAATGAGTATATGAAGAGACAGTTATTTCTGGGGGTCAATCCACTCAGTTTTAAAAGAATATAAATATCAACTCACAAACTAAGTGCAGGACAATGTCAAGGCAAAGTTTTGTTTGGATTATTTAAATATACGTAAAGAGAATAATAATTTTTTGAACAACATTTTATGGACTGACTAAAGTTCGTTCACTACAAGAAAGGGTTGTAATAGACAAAATACGCGATATTGGTCTTTACTTATTCCTAGACAAATACACAAAACCCAGAGGTACCCCAGAGGTACCAATCAATTAATGTATGATGTGGTGTCATATTGTGGGTCCTATATTTATAGATCAAAAGTTAATTGGAGATCATTATTTGCAACTCTCAGAGCACCAAACAGAAGCAAGACCCTCCTCACAATGTTGTGCAAGTTAAAAAAATTCGTAACATGGAATATCGCAGTGGTTGGATAGGGAACGGCGGAACTATTGGGGACACATAAAAAATCACGTGCGCAGAACTTTTAGTAATAATGTTGTGAAACTTCAGCAAATGATTTCAGAGGCAATCAATCAGTTAAGAGACAATCCAGAAACGTTACTAAATGCAGAACATCATACAATTAGGGTGTATGATAAATGTGTTCAGAAAATGGTGGTCCCAATATTTAGAATAGTTAACGAATTCTTTACTTTAGTGTGTCTTGTCATTTTTAGTGTTTTTGTTCTACTTTAATTTGTAAATAATTATTGTTGTTGCAGTCCATCACGGCACTCTCGAGTAGACTAAAATATACAGTATGCTACATCATTGTATGTATAAAATATGATGTAGGTTTAGATGTTGGAAAATTGATATTGTTTTGTTTTATTTGTTGTTTTATAACTTGCCTACTAACCCTACATTTTATTTTTTTGTTTACCTTGGTATCTCTAAAAACAAAAAAATTATAGCCAATTAAAGTGTTATCAAGATAAATTGAACGGACGGTGCATGACTCTGTTATAACATTTTTACCATACACATTTTCGAATGCAACTAAAGGTTTTTTATTTTTTTTTTTTCAAATTTTGCTTAACTTGCCTAAATAATACCAACAATTATAGTGTCATTTGGTTTCAATTTGCGCCTCATTCGAAGTTTTTTTCAATTACTAAGTTTTACATATAAATGAGCTACCAAATAATAGTATATTATGCAACAAGTGCAGTAAACGGCATTTGACTCACGAGTTTATTTGACACGAGCGCAGCGAGTGTTTAATAAGCGAGTGACTTAAAAAGTTTACCGAACGTGTTGCTTACTATACTTTTTCTACGCCCATTAGTTTTTGGGTACATTTTCCCAAACAACACGAACACATTCACTGACATGCCCCTTAGAACTGACAAACTTCAAATTCAAGGCGTGGAAAATATATCCGAAATCATCCGATTGCTCCCGAACTCGTGCGGTAAAATCCCAGAAATGTCCGAACCCCTGGGAAATAAAACTGACCTGATAAAGTGATTCTTCTCGCACGCTAGATCGGTAGGTAACTAGGTATTTTACAGACGGGAGTAGAAAAATAGACTTATTTACACAGTTTTATATTAACATAGTAAAGAATATTTTCAACCATTAGCCCAAGATTTTATGGTCATAAAAGCTTAAATTGATCCTTTAACCTGGTGAAATGACGGTTCCGGCAAGTTTTGGTTTAATTCGTCTATATTCGTAAACCGTTTGGATGGTTTTCTTCGTATTTCATATTGTCTATCAAAAGTCAAAGTTCTTTATCTCAAGGAACGTACTCAGGAACCGACCATCCAGATTACTCGATTTGTAGCCCTTGAAATTTTCACTCGAGGGTTGCTTAGTGTATCCTAGGTTTTTGCAAACTAAAGACGAATTGAATTCTGTTTACTAATCCTTTACTTTGATTGTGTATTTATTGTTTTTCATTGATTGTTTGGCTTTTAAGATTTAAGTTTTTTTCAGATTTAAATTCGTGTTATGTGAATTTTTGAAATGACACTCTTGCGTTTCAGTTTACTATCAGGCGAGAAATCATTCTAAATATAATTAAAAATAATGAAGATATCTTAACCCAAAGGAAAAATTAAATAGTATACCGGATATTTCATTTAAAATAACGAGAGACATTGTAATTACCTTCGTTGCATACAACTATTGAATTTTAAATTTTTCGTTAATATAAATGGATCCCGCAGTACTGTGCTACTCTGTATATAACGTTTATTATAGAGAGAGGTTCTAGCGTTAAAGTAAAACTACAATGCATTCTGCAAGCGTAAGGTATGAGGCGCCATTTAAAACAACATCGATCAAACTGTACTCGCTAAATGCGCCATCCAATTTTGCGAAACTTCCCTGAAGATGGGAGGAATGTTGTGGAATCGGCAAATTGCATAAAACCCCTTCGAGGTACGCTGGGAAAAATATTCGGTGTTTAGTTTCTTGTCAGTACGCGAAAAATAACTCTCAAAGTGATGTGGAGCAAAAAAAACACAATAAGTACTTAACTCTGATTCGCGGAGGCACTTGCATTAGATTAGGCACTCGTATAAGTCATACATATAGATTTAATTACGACTTACAAATCTTATGGATTCCTCCTGCATCGCTTGTTGATGAATCCTGCTGGATTCTTCAGAGCTTGGCTGAAACTGGATCGCATTCTACTCTGCACCTGATTATATATTGTATGAACGGGTGGTGCTGGGGGGGAAAGACCTGAGTCGCGGTTAAGATTTTTGGGAGACTATTATTAGTTACTAACTCAATGGCAAAACGTATATAGGGCTATACAGAGTTTAAATGGCTAGGAAAATCTAATAGGGATTCTTGGCCATGAGGCCAAATAACAAAAGTATCATCAACGTAGCGTTTCCCTAATGTTGGTTTTAGATGGAAGGTGTCTAAGGCACCATTAATATATTCGCCATGACTGATCATTATAGCTGTTCAGTACGTTTATTCAAAAATTTTACTGTTGCAAGACAGACAACCGTTTTCCAATTAAAATGAAAAGATTTGGTTGGAATTTTAATGTATCTGAAATAATGTTGAGAGTTTCAGGAATAGGGACTTTGCGAATCTTAGGCAGTTCGTACCAATTTTATAGTCATGAGGCTTTTTAACTGATTCTGATAACGAAGAAGCTTTAATAACAGATTTAGGGCTGCGTTCCAAAGTTGACCATAGTATGCGCCTTTAAGGATATCTTGAATCTTTTCCTGATATTCGTTTGTGCTCATGACCACCGTAGTATTTCCTTTATGTGCTTTTAGAACTACGATGTCTGGATTAGATTTGAGTGATTTTATCTCGACATTTGAAATGTTTTCTTCTTTTGGGATAATACGTGGGGCAAGGACTAAGTTGTATATAGAATTACAGTAGTAGCCTGTGAAAATTTCTTTGAAAAGTTCTAATTATAAGCATGCTAATATTTTTTTTTGTACAACAAAATTGGATTGCATTTGGATCAGATTGAATTTGTTTCCGCAATTTGTAGCAGTTATATATTTTGTTACTTGAGCCTCGCTTCTTTAGCTATTTTTTCGTACATTTTTTTAAAACTTTTTATTTTCAAAAACCCCAGTTGCTTTCAGTATTGTATACATAAATAAAAAAGTAAAGTATCACCATGATCGTAGATCGAACTTTTACAATTTTGCTTAATTCAATAACGAAAATAAAAGTAATATATAGAGCGGAATAATTATTTGATACCCAAATCTGAAATAATTTAGAAACTTCTTACTACATAACAAGGACAAGAACCGTTAGTTTTCCAATCGCGCATGAGTATTCGCCAATCAGATTTATGTTATTATGGATATTTATCAGAGGTAAGTTTGCAATCGCTTCCGCGCACAAAGATAATTCAGAAGGAATAATGGTATGTACGAAAAGCGAGAAAATCGTGGACGCTAGAACACTACCCTGGTGAATACCTGGCTCTAAAGTTTCGAATTGACAAATCAAATTAAAAAATGATTTAATTAACTTTTCTTCCCATGCCGAATCTGTCAATTAACTACGTTCAAGACGGAAAGACGGACGGCAAGCATCGCCTAACCGTTGCCATCGTGGTGCCCTCTACTAGAAAAAATTGGCAATAGTTTACTACTTTCGTTGATATCGAGGCCGGGAATTTTCTCAGTGTATCGTGGGTTATACGACGACTGAATGCCGCGCTTTGGCGCATACTTTTCTTTGAAATGATTTCAATTTATTTTAATTGATGTTTTCAGTCGCGCCGGTGATAAAAGTGCCGAACCAGCTGCTTGGCGCACCCCTCAATACCGACGTGCAACTAGAGTGTTACGTCGAGGCGTTCCCCAACACTATCAATTACTGGATTAAAAACAGGGGCGAGATGCTATTGAACGGGTAAGTTGTTACAGCGGCGGCGGACGCTTCGGTTTTGTTTGTAATTGAAATGTCGGATCTACGGTGAAGTTCCGAGATTAATACAATATTAGCGAGGCGTTTTGAAAGGGCAGACGGGAAGCTTTGAGGTGGAATATTTTTGTAAGCCCAACTCACCGTCGGTTCCTTTTAGCGTTTTGTTATTTTACATTGTTCATGTTTATTTTAATATTATAAATTATATGCAGTATTTCAATTATAACGTACGGGTTTTGCCGTATTTTAATTAGACGTTCTTTGTTTTAGAGAATAATTCATATAGCTTTGCTTTTAACCCCGTATTTCTATAATACCTTTTACAGCTTGTTTTCAGTCAATTAGAAGTAACGCAAAAAAATCTAAATCTCACCCATACCGCCATCTCTAAACGATTTTTTTTTAATTAGCTATATGTCTATGTATAATTTTATTTGGTCTTATGGTTAGCTTCTGGAAAATATATAGCACATAAGAGCTACTTGGAATACAAAGTATTTATGCAAAGTTAGGAAAATATTTTTTTTTTGCATAAATAAGAAATCAATCATCCTGTTGGCTTCTTCAGAACTGAAACAGTTTCAGTCTACTGTAGTACTATTTTACCTATGAGGGGAATCTAGTTTTAAGTAGTTTATAAAGAAAACAAACAGAATGTAATTATTTTTTATTTTATTTAACCATTTTATCATACAGTTTATGACTTGATCTCTTCGTTTAAAACTCTAAATAAAACGAATACGGAAATTCTGGATTTATGTCGTATAATATAATAAGAAAACGTCTACCAAAAAGAACTCGACACTGGGTTCGCTTAACCTGACACAAGCGTGAGTAGAGGTCACGCCAAAGGCTGCCATCTGACCTTACCTTTGTTTCCGTTTTCCTTATCGAGGAGGAATAAACCCGTAATGCTGCCTTTTCGAATCCTTTTATGGTGGTCGCGGTCCATTGGTAAGGACCCCGTGCCCCCACTGCCCACACAGTACTATAGGTAGATTCATGGAATAAAATTTATTGCTTATCAAGATTAACTTTTGCGTAGCGTATGTGCAATATTAAATGCGCATCCGTAATATACCCCTGTTAGAGTTCTCCAAACGAAATACCTTTTTAAAGGCATAATCCGGTATTTAACTTTGGTAAATTTTTATGAAGATCTAACCGCCGATCTACCTCGATTGGGTTTTTCTTTGTAACCCTCAATAAATAGATTCGCAATTCCACAATAACGTTGCAAATCCGTACTTCGGTAGTTCGAGTATATAAAAACTTGTCTCTTATCGATGGTTTCGTAATAAAAACCAGTTCTTCGCCCGAACGCACAAAAAGTCTCTTGACAAGAGTCAATGTTCAAAACAGTAAGCGACTCTCCATGTAAAGTTTTGATTGTTAAAACAATATTCTTGTGATACACATCATATCTCAACCGTCTCCCTATTCCCGCATGGTGCATGTCAAGTAGACTTTTGAGACCCCACGATCTTTCCGCATTTTTCTTTCTTGGCAAACGGTATTTTAGTCGGAAGATAATTTTATGATTCCACTTTGCCTAGATGTCGATTTCAGAAACATAAACACATTTTTAATTATAATTTTGGAAGCTACTGGCAAATGTCTGCGAGTCTTTGATCTATTTGAATTTGGCGGATGTCCATCATCAACGATTATTACGTCATCGACCACAATCTCTACTTCTTCGTCGCTGGACTAACAAAATTGAATAACGTTGGTATTTGATTAAGAAAATACTCCGATTTCACCAACCCCCACAAATCAACCCATAGCAAACTGGGAAAACATCCATTATAAAACAATTATCTACATAAGTACTACTAGGAAAATATTTTAAAGTCATTTTATTAGACCCTTAAGTTGGAAATCAGTTTAAGTTTTCTAATGTGTTTCTAATATAGGAGATCAACCTATCTAATGGGCAAATCCAACTTGAAATCGAGCTACCTCAAGTAGGAACTGTTTCAGAAATATTATAAAACGCACACTAATATGAATTAATATAACAGTTTAATCAAAGAAAATTTCCCTACTCTTAAAATATAACAGTCCGCACAGCACAGTTCTTGTGGTAAATACGGTACTAGCTTGTGGTACGCGTGCTGCAAAGAATGGTCTAACCAAAATCTTAAAAGATTGTACAAACGGTATATTATTTGGAGAACTCTATATTCAATTTTTCAGAATTGCCATATTTTGGGTTAACAGTACTAGTTCAGTAGCCAACAACAGTCGTAGCAAAAGCAAATGATAATTTTCAAATATAATGACTGTTTATCGGAAACCTCATCACAAGCCTAATAAAATTAATAGAATTAATAGAAAGTTGTCTACTCTGGATCCTCCGTAAAAAACCCTATCCGGAAGAATTTTCATCTTTTCGATAGCTTTATGCATAAGCTAGTTTTAAATGGTGAATGAAAATCTAAATCTAAAAATCCAAGATAGATATTTCTGTTTGTGCACTGCTTCATTTCATTAAAAACGCAACCTTCGATCATAAAAGCCGAATCACGTTAGCTTTATTAATAAACGAGGTACGTCGTAAAACCATCAAAAATGGGATACACTGTACCGCGTTCCTAAGCCAGCAGAGATAAAGATATCTATTGTTCCTGATTTATCTACAGCTTACAAGATTTTTTATTTTCCAACCAAAAATAATAAAATATAATTTTGACCACTTAAATAAATACACATTAAAATGATTATATAATGTTATCGTGAGAAAATACACCCAGAAAATATTTACTTACAAATATTATCTACAAATTATACAAGGAAAAAAATACCCAAGGATGAAATTTTCTGTTACATACCTTTTCGAACTTCCGAAATAATATGGATCTTGATTGGATTTTGAACTGCACTGAACGCTCTTTTACAATTAAGTAGTACGTCGGAAATGATTGGCAAAATTATCTTGAACCACAAAAGATTTCGGTTCTTTACATTTTTCCACGATGACATGAACATGACATTTACCTTCCCATCTGCCAAGTTCTTTGTTGTTCGATTACAATAACCTTTCTGAATTTCCCGTCGTGTTTGAGTTATTTTAATTTACGGCTTTCAGTAAGCACACGTTTAAGCATAGAATCTGCAACAAAAAAATCAGTCCTTATTCGGCTCTTATATAACATAAGTAGGTGATGAAGCTAGGACGAGACTTGGTGTATTTCTTTTTTCAAGTTAAAGTAAGTGAGTAACTCTCATATACCGAATATTTCTGTTCGCATTAACTTGTAAATTTCCTCCTTATTACGCTAAATTGGGCACTGTCCATTTTCACATTGAGTGTCTGGAAAATGTCCAAACAGTCATCATCAAAAAAATTGAAAAAAATTGCCACCTTAGCACCTCGAATTTTTCTCGGATAGAAGCAAATGGTTTTGTTATTGTTAATGTTATTGTTATTGGACTGAAGTCTGATGTTCTTTTAGTCTGTTTGATATTTTTTGACCTGCTTCTAAGTTGTATTCCTTGCCACATTTGCACGGCGTACTGCAAACACTTGCTCTCCGGAGGAGGGTTTTCTCTTTTACCGATCCCATAAGGTGGAAGATTTTAGGGCAAGTGGTAGTACTAGTACTACAGTGGTTCTGGTTTACTGTATTTTCTAATAGAACCTATGATACCTTGATAATAGAAAATGTTTCAGAGAAAAACGGAGCTAAGATGTGTTAATTCCTGGGTTGAGACAGCGATATTGCTCTAAAAACTAACTAATTAGACTGTCGGCGACAGTGACATTACGCATCTACAAAATCCTTGAAGTTTGTTTTCTCCACGGATCTGAATTTCGTGCCGACATTCTCCGACGTCTGTCACCCTTCATTTATTCGTTTGCCGCTCCCTGGCACCTTTATCTTTAATGCCACCGAAAGGATTATCGGTAATTCTACATAATTGGCACCGTAATTAATTATTGGGCATTAAAACCTCGCCAATGACTCCCGGCTGCATGGCGGAAAACAACGTTTAAACAAAACATATCAAGGCAGTTAGATACGAGTCGTACTAAATCATATCCGTTTGACGTTGCCGCCTGATAATTTACGTGCAACGATATTTTGATATTCAGCAATAATTCTGATTCGGGCGCCCGACCGACCGCATTCCGCTCTGAGCGACGTTTCGATTAAATATGCACGCGCAGGTACGCTTTGTAACTCACTGAGTCGCAAAAAAGGTTTATCTCTGCTCCCTCTCGCCCCTGGGCCGTCAATTTGCTACTAAATAATTAGCGACATTCCGTGCGGTTTTTGCTAATCGGCTGTAAATTGAAACGATTTCATAATTGATCGGTTAGTATTTTGTCAGATGGATTTATATCGGCCGAATTGAACCCCGAGGTTTAGCAGCAATCGCCGAATTTACGAGAAGGGTCACGCCGTCGAACATTCGTCAGCAAATTAAGTGGGCACCATTTCACGTGTATGATCCAACCCAAGTTCTTTCGGTAATTCAGAGTCACTCCAATAACTAACATAATACATATTTTGAGTAAGTTTTGCGGAACCATCACTAACAAAACTTCGCGAGGTAGTGAATTTATATGATCTGCTGACGAGTTTACTGATAATGCTTTAGGTTCTTCTGGTTCTAATTAAGCACGTAATATACAGACCTAGACGATTAGGTGGTTAGAGAGGTACCTCGCAGTTTGTAATTCGACACGGGCCAGAGACTTGAACAAAGATGTCTATGTTTATTTTGAAGACTACTCCAAAGCTTTTGACAATGTCAAACTTTACTAACTAATAGAAATGCTTCAAAATGTGGACATAGCATTTCAGCAAACCTTGGCTGGCTAGTTCGTCAAGTAAGTGCATCGAAATTCGAACGGATATACGATAATGATATATCTTATATCCGCTACCCTTCGATATATATTCTAAGCAAACTATGAAAAAAGCACTAAGCAAAAGTAGCCGGAACATCAACGTGAATGGAGAAGTAATAAATAA